TTTGTGGCTTAGTGACGAAGAAACGTGATATTTAGTGATAGAGAAGAAACATATTGAATAAATTTGAGCTTTATTATTTAATTTAATTATTACCTATATTTATGAAATATATGTCATGGATTATAGTCTTTTAATTTTGTATCTTAGTGGGGGAAAAACCTAAAATTTTGTGATGGAGAAGAAAAATAAAATATATTTTTTTTGTGTCTATTTTGTTTGTTGCTTACAGATAAAATAACCTAAATTTTTGACGGTGAAGAAAAATATTGAATATTTTTAGATGCAATATACCATAAGTCAATGTGAATACGTTGAATATAAAAAATATTGAGCTTGATTATTTATTTTTAAATTTTATTCATATGTATAAATTAAGGGTCATTCAGTTTTAGTCTTTTAACTTAGTTTCTTAAAGGTGAACAAATCTAAACATTGGTGACGGAGAAGAAGAAAAATATAGAAATATTTTACATTTATTATACTATAATACAATGTGATTATGGTGAATAAAAATAATATTGAACTTGATTATTCAAATTTAATTATTACCCATGTGTGTGTGTGTCTATATATATATATATATATATATATATATATATATATATATATATATATATATATATATATATATATATATATATATATATATATATATATATATATATATATATATATATATATTACTGGTAATTAATTTATAGTCTTTTAACTTTGTTTCTTAATTAATGAGTAACCTAAGATATATTAATGAAGATGAAAAATATTAATGTTTTTAATACTTAATATACCATAGATCAATGTGAATTTGGTAAATATAAATAATTTTGAGCTTGAAAATTAATTTTAATCATTTTCCGTATCTATAAAATATGGTGCATTCATTTATAGTATTTTAACATTGTTGCTTTGATGGTGAAAAAACCTAAAATTTGGTGACGGAGAAGAAGTAAAATATTGAAATTTTTCACAACTATTATACTATAATACAATGTGAATATGGTGAATAAATATAAAATTGAACTTGAATGTTTAACTTTAATGATTAGCCATATATATATAATTTATTTGTCATTCATTTATAGACTTTTGACTTTGTGGCTTAGTGACGAAGAAACGTGATATTTAGTGATGGAGAAGAAACATATTGAATATATTTACATCTAAAATACCATAATTAAATGTTAAATGGTGAATATAGATAAATTTGAGCTTTATTATTTAATTTAATTATTACCTATATTTTATGAAATATATGTCATGGATTATTGTCTTTTAATTTTGTATCTTAGTGGGGAAAAACCTAAAATTTTGTGATGGAGAAGAAAAATAAAATATATTTTTTTTATATCTATTATTGTCTATTTTTTTGTTGCTTACAGATAAAATACCCTAAATTAACTGATGGTGAAGAAAAATATTGATTATTTTTAGATGCAATATACCATAAGTCAATGTGAATACGTTGAATATAAAAAATATTGAGCTTGATCATTTAATTTTAAATTTTATGCATATGTATAAATTAAGGGTCATTCATTTTTAGTCTTTTAACTTAGTTTCTTAAAGGTGAAGAAATCTAAACATTGTTGACGGAGAAGAAGAAAAATATAGAAATGTTTTACATCTATTATACTATAATACAATGTGTTTATGGTGAATAAAAATAATATTGAACTTGATTATTTAAATTTAATTATTACCCATGTATATATATATATATATATATATATATATATATATATATATATATATATATATATATATATATATATATATATATATATATATATATATATATATATATATATATATATATATATATATATATATATATATATATATATATATATATATATATATATATATATATATATATATATATATATATATATATATATATATATATATATATATATATATATATATATATATATATATATATATATATATATATTATGGGTAATTCATTTATAGTCTTTTAACTTTGTTTCTTAATGATAGAGTAACCTAAGATATAGTAATGAAGAAGAAAAATATTAAAGTTTTTAATACTTAATATACCATAATTCAATGTGAATTTGGTAAATATAAATAATTTTGAGCTTGAAAATTAATTTTAATCATTATCCTTATATATAAAATATGGTGCATTCATTTATATTCTATTAACTTTATTGCTTTGGTGATAAAGAAACCTAAAATTTGGTGACGGAGAAGAAGTAAAATATTGAAATTTTTCACTCATATTATACTATAATACAATGTGAATATAGTGAATAAATATAAAATTGAACTTGAATATTTAACTTTAGTGATTACCCATATATATATATATATATATATATATATATATATATATATATATATATATATATATATATATATATATATATATATATATATATATATATATATATATATATATATATATATATATATATATATATATATATATATATATAATTTATTTGTTATTTATTTATAGACTTTTAACTTTGTGGCTTAGTGACGAAGAAACGTGATGTTTAGTGATGGAGAAGAAACATATTGAATATATTTACATCTAAAATACCATTATTAAATGTTAAATGGTGAATATAGATAAATTTGAGCTTTATTATTTAATTTAATTATTACCTATATTTTATGAAATATATGTCATGGATTATAGTCTTTTATTTTTGTATCTTAGTGGGGAAAACCCTAAAAGTTTGTGATGGAGAAGAAAAATAAAATATATTTTCTGTGTGCCTATTATTGTCTATTGTTTTTGTTGCTTACAGATAAAATAACCTAAAATTTTTGACGGTGAAGAAAAATATTGAATATTTTTAGATGCAATATACCATAAGTCAATGTGAATACGTTGAATATAAAAAATATTGAGCTTGATTATTTATTTTAAATTTTTATCATATGTATAAATTAAGGGTCATTCATTTTTAGTCTTTTAACTTAGTTTCTTAAAGGTAAAGAAATCTAAACATTGGTGACTGAGAAGAAGAAAAATATAGAAATGTTTTATATCTATTACACTATAATACAATGTTATTATGGTGAATAAAAATAATATTGAACTTGATTATTTAAATTTAATTATTACCCATATATATATATATATATATATATATTATATATATATATATATATATATATATATATATATATATATATATATATATATATATATGTATATATATATATATATATATATATATATATATATATATATATATATATATATATATAATATATATATATATATATATATATATATATATATATATATATATACATATATATTACGGGTAATTCATTTATAGTCTTTTAACTTTGTTTCTTAACGATTGAGTAACCTAAAATATATTAATGAAGAAGAAAAATATTAATGTTTTTAATACTTAATATACCATAGATCAATGTGAATTTGGTAAATTTAAATAATTTTGATCTTGAAAATTAATTTTAATCATTATCCGTATATATAAAATATGGTGCATTCATTTATATTCTATTAACTTTATTGCTTTGGTGATAAGAAACCTAAAATTTGGTGACGGAGAAGAAGTAAAATATTGAAATTTTTCACTCATATTATACTATAATACAATGTGAATATAGTGAATAAATATAAAATTGAACTTGAATATTTAACTTTAGTGATTACCCATATATATATATATATATATATATATATATATATATATATATATATATATATATATATATATATATATAATTTATTTGTTATTTATTTATAGACTTTTAACTTTGTGCTTAGTGACGAAGAAACGTGATGTTTAGTGATGGAGAAAAGCATATTGAATATATTTACATCTAAAATACCATTATTAAATTTTAAATGGTGAATATAGATAAATTTGAGCTTTATTATTTAATTTAATTATTACCTATATTTTATGAAATATATGTCATGGATTATAGTCTTTTATTTTTGTATCTTAGTGGGGAAAACCCTAAAAGTTTGTGATGGAGAAGAAAAATAAAATATATTTTCTGTGTGCCTATTATTGTCTATTGTTTTTGTTGCTTACAGATAAAATAACCTAAAAT